CCCAGACTTTCCTGTTGTCTAATCCTCTGCGACCCACAGGACAAAAATTGAACTGATTAAAGCACCAGAAAACGTTCTGTGGGAACCCTGCCTGCGTTTACCCCTGAGGGGAGACTGGAATGGCCTAAAAGGTCTTTTCCCTGCTCTAATTTCACCGATGGTTATGATCCTCTTTGCTCTGCTGTGGGAATAAAATGCAAAGGCAAAGCACCTGGACAAATTGTTCCTGGCCTTGGGTACTGATGGAAAGAGAAACGTCAGGGTGGCTGAGGATGGGATGCTCTTGCTGAAGGAGGGCAGCTGGGGGGGATCAGCGTGCGGCCAGCAGCTCTGCCCGGCCTTTTGCTGCAATGAGAGGAGAGCCCGGTACTGGGAAGGCCAGGAGCAGCATCACCCGGCCAGCTGAGACACTCAGGGAGGGAAACATCTCATTCTCCCCATGATATCCTGTATTTTTTTTCCTTCTCAGCAAGAATTGGGAAAATCAGAACCTCCCAACTGCTTCCAAGCCTCCTGGTGGCACGTCAGACCAGGTCCAACTTGGTCCAAGTCACTAAATGCCTGGTAGCAGCTGGAGAGCAATCACTGCAGTCCTGGAGCTCCTCTTCTCTTGCAGATTGACCCAGAAGGAACCCAGTTCTCGTGCCACCCTGTGCTCGATGGGGGCAGCCAGGAGACTGCTCCTCATCGTGGCAAATATATGAATGCAGCAGCACGCTTGGAGGAACCAGAGAGCAGTCACTAAACAAGCAGCATTTCTGTCTCAACTTTGCTCCCAGGCATCTCAGGATATGTCTGCAAACATTAACTTGCAGCACTCTGCTGTCTGACAGTTTGCTACTGGAAGCAGGGCCAGAAGAGACTCAGAAGCAGATCAGATGGGTGATAACTGTGTCATTTATGGGACTCCTTCTTATGTTACAGAAAAATAATTGCAGCAGCTAGCATAAAATAATGAGACGTGTTTGTGCTGCGTATTGTTTTCTCTTACTTACGGCACCTGACACACAGTGCCGGCACCGGACAGCAAAACATGATGGAAAGAGTCATTCGTTATAGGGTGTAAGTGAGAAATAGTGATTAGAAGGTAACAGTGAGTAGTGAATAGAAGGCAATGGTCAGGCGCCTGGCAGTTCATGGGAGCACAGCAGCTGCAGGCTCAGAGTCCTCAGAACCATCCAAAGGAAAACAGCACTGAAAGCCCCGGGGGTGCTGAGGTCAGGCTGCCCTACAACACGGCGTGCCTGGGAATAATCCCAAGCAACTACACGCTGTTAGCAGTGCGGGGAAGGTGTCTTTCTTTAGGACAAGGTTTTTTACTATGGGGATTTTTCTGCTGTCTTCTTAACAGCTATGGCCAGACTGAGGAATACAGCCAGGAACCGTCTGCCTAGCAAATTCCTAAATAGCACTGTAGGTTCGTCCTGGGAAGAAACAGCTCTGCTGGTGATGGTGAGGCTCAGGACAAGGCAGCGGTTTGGATCCCGAAAGGATCCAGGGAACCCAGCAGGGACAGGCAAGGGAGCTGGGAGCCCTCCTGGCCCGACAGAGCCCATCCCAAGCAGCTGATCCACAGGGTAAGAAGGATTATCTGGAGTCACGGCGCGTTCCTGCAGCCCCGTGTTGCCTTCTGTGTCTCTCCAGTTAATTAGTTATGCTCTTCTTCCAGTTAATTAGCTCAAAGAAAAACAGCCCTTTGTACTTAGCCTTATAAATTACAGACTTTTACTGTCTTATATTTTATACGAGATGACACTTTCTGCATTTTCTTAGCAGGGTCACATTTACAATTCTTAAAGATTTGGGAGGAATCTCGCTTAGCCGTGCTGCAGAGCATGGTTGTGGGGAAAGGCATTTCAAAGTTACCTTGATAACTTTATAAAAAAATCACCAGAGCAATGGAGAGAAAAATTTGTGAGGATCAAAGAAAATGAACTCTGTTAAAAAAAAGACTAAGTAATGAAGTTACTGAAAAAAAATACATGAAAGTGGCAAAAAGAACTTCAGATGTTCATAAGATACCATCTGCAAAAGACTAGCTAGTGTGCAATTAGCAGGTTGTAGGCTGACAGCAGGTTGCTGCAGTCATTTTAAGGTTGCGAGCTCATGGGAAAGGCTCAGACTCATCTACTAAAATAAAAGGACTTGCTGGCTTTTACCCCCATGCTGGGCAAGGAGGAGGCACGGAGCTGAATCAGGAACACAGCGCATCGCCTCGGCTTGGGGAGGTACGGCTCAGCCACCAGAAGGAGCAAAGAACCGAGCTCTGCCTGTGCCCCGTGTGCTGTCCCCATCCCACAACAAGAAGATCACGGCCGGGACGTTTTTCTCGTGCTCTGCTGCAGCATCGTGCCAGGGCCCGGCACCGACACCTGCAGCGTTCCCAACGTGTCACTGTCAGCGGAGGGATGAGCAGGACAGCAGCCTTTTGCAAACTTGTCCAAGTTTCTGGGTGAATTTTTTTTCCCCAGCACTCCAGCCAGAAGCAATGTTACGGCAGACATCTCTCTGAACGGTGTTGGTTGTTAGAGAAAATCGTTGGTGTGCTTTATCATCTCTTTGGGCCTTTCAGACTCATTCTGGGGACCAGACATTGATTTCCTCACGGCATTCAGGGTGCATTTCTTAAGCACGCCGTATCCTTCATAAAGGTAGTTGTGTGATATTGAGATATGAAGTTTGGGCTTCTGCTCTCAGTCCCCAGGCCCAAGCCATGCCACGGCAAATAAATCTGGGGGCCGAACTGCGAGCGGAGCCATCTGTCACCCTCGCCCTGCCTCCACGGGCAGGCAGCCTTGCACCGGGGTTAACTGAGAATGGGAAAAATCTCCCCAAGAGAGGGCTGGCAGAGCTGCGATGTGTCTTATTGATTGATCCGCACAGCAGAAGTGAAGGAATATAAAGAAAGAGTTTAGATAATATAAAGGTAGACATTTTCAATACCAACTTAGGGTCACGAGAAATTCTATAATCATAACTTAACTCATCCGCTTCCCTTAGGTCTTGCAGCACCGGATAATAAATGACAAATCAGTCAGAAAGCTCGGTGGCAAGCAGGACAATATTTTGAAAGCTGTGCCCTTGGAATACTGTCAAAAAAAGGAAAACCAATGCATCACGAAATACATTTATCTATCTCTAGACGATGTGCTCCATCCTCAATTGTTAGGAGAAGAGAAAAGCTGGGGTTTGCCATGAAAAATTCCCAGAGCAGCCGATCTCACCTTGATGTCTTCTGTGGGTATGGCTGCATAAATCCAAGCACTCGTGGTTAGTGCTCGGCTGCAGCAGCAACATACATCGAGAGATTAGATCAGAGAGACGGCGAGGGAGAGGGAGAGGGAGAAGGAAGGGGGAAAAAAAAGATTCAAAAGCAATCAAGATCTTAATCCCACCAGTGGAAAGCTGAGAGAGTTTTCAAACAACCACTGAGTGTTATGAGCAGTGGGCACGTTTCTGATGCTGCCAGTGTGGGGTGAGCTCGTGTGCCAGCTTCCAGGGCTGGGGATGGGGCAAGAGCCCTCAGCGGCTGCTCCCAGATTACAGCACACAGCTCAGGGTGAAGTCCTGGTGTTTGGGGATCGGGAAAGAATAATATTTCAAAAGAACTAATTTTCCTAGAAATGTGCCTGAAAGTTTAATCAAGCAAAACCCTTCTCCTCTCCCATCTTGGACTGTGAACCAGATTGGGCATCGGTCCCTGGCAGGGCGATAATAATGATCTGGCAGCGATCCCATGGGCAGTTTTTATATTGTAGCCTGTCCCTTAATTATTTTGCAGGTTCACCCACAGACACGTCTTTCACCTCCAGCTAACCCCCCCAGGATGCCCCATCTGCTGAGGCTTTTGGGGTGCTCCTCCCAGCAGTGCTGGGAGCGGGGCAGTGCTCAGCGGTGCAGGAGCAGACTTTGCTCCAGCCCTTTTGTCATTCAACACCAAAATTCTGGAACCAGATAAAAATTTCGCCCTGGGATTTTTGGAAGGGAGCCTAACCTCCAAAATCCACATGGTTCCATTGTGCCTAATTACAACCTGTCTAAAATTCTAATGGATCCCAGCAGCACAATATTAATAGTAGAGAATTATTGCATTGTACGTTCTTTACAGTTAATCTAGTTGTCTAGGTTATTGGACAAAAAGGTTCAATAATAGGAAAACAGCCTGCTGTTGGGTTGAATTTTGCTGGATTATAGATTGAGTTTTTAAGTTTAATGCAATGAGACGGTTGCATAGTACAAAGTGTATTTTAAGTATCTATTTATTAAAGCTGATTTGCACTAGAAGTTGTGTTCAAAAGTACACCTGACAGCTAAATGAATAGCAAATTATTTCACAGCAATCTGTGCTATTTTCTGTTGTTTCTGTGCAGCTAGCTCCTGCATGCATTGCAGGTTAAAAGAATTTTCAACCTTCTATTTAATACAATAAAGTTTGTCAGATGTTGTTATTAGTTTTGCCGAGTGCCATATCCGAGTGTAATATATGCGTAAAAGCCTCGCTGACTCCTTGAGCAGTCTAAGTCTGGTGCAAACAGGCTGCAGCAGCAAGGAGAGACCGAGCAAGGTGGTTTTTATTTAATCTGGTTCAATCAGCACATAATGATAGGCATTCAAATTGCTGGCAAATCCAGCATTACTCCCAAATCCAACATTGTTCCCATTCACCAAGGACAACTCTGGACATTTTCTCTGCAGAGGGGGAGCAGGGGCTGGGTGTTGCATCCAGCAGGATGCTCTGTGCAGGACGGGGCTCTGAGCACTGCAGTGGGCATTGTCCATGGAATAACAACCACGTTGCAATGGCACCAACAGCCTGAGCACCCCAGGGAAGGGATAACCCCATATGCTTGCCAAGGAAAGAGCTAAGGAAATGCAGCTGGGGCAGCTCCCCAGGTGTGTGCCCTCAGCAGTGAGCCCAGCTGGGAAGGGTCCCCTCGTCCTGCAGGGAGCCCCCCTGCCAGCAGCGCTATAAAGGCCAGGCCATGCCCCCAGCTCTGTTTGGGGTTTCCTGCTGAGTTTCTGAATGAGATGATGCTGCTGCATGGAGAAATTATATTGAAAGAAGAAAGGGAGACTTGCTTGAGGCTTTCTGAAGAGCAGGTTGTGGCAGCATGCCTCCTTCAACTGAAAGCAGGTATGAGAAGCAATGGGGGGACCTGTGCAGGTCCCTGCCCTGGGGATTTGCTACCTGGAGCCTTCCCCAGTGCAATGTGCCCTGCTGCCTTCCTGCTCTGAGGGCCCCTAATCAATACTAAGGCATCATTCAGGCTTTGCTTAACATTGGAAGTGCTGAGAAGTGGCTGAAAAGGGAAGGAGGGAGGAAGCCCCTGGGGATTTTTATGTGCCATGGGTGGGAAGGCTGGTCCCAAGTTTGACCTGATTTATTTAACTTTCTGGGAATAATAATAATTTTTCTTTGAGCTGACTGTCTGCATGTCAAAGTTTCAGCTCAATTTGAAATGGTTGAAAGATGAATCCCAGAGGAGAAATAATGCTGGTTGTATCTGGGCGTGCTGGCAGTCTCTAACCGGAGCATTGCTCTCCACCTTAATGCACAGCAGCAAAAATTATAGGCTGGTATCAAGGTCTGTGTTTCGTGTGTTTATGGACTGTTTGCATTGCTGTCCAAGCAAAAGGAGAAGAGTGTTTGGCTGTTTTTTTTTGTTGTTAGTCTTTCTAGGCTTGCAATGAAAGGGTTTTAATCTGGAACTACCGAGATACTTGCAGGCAAGTTTTGATGACAGTATAACTACTTCGGAGGGAAAAATTTGTACAGTAGCAATTCCCAGAGCAACAGCAGCAAATAAAAGAGAAGGGATAACTATTTAGCTCTCCCTACCTGCATCTGTGTGTTGTGTGTGTGGAAGGGAGAGCTTCCCGAATGCACTAGGAAAGTAATTGAACTCAGGGCTCATTATTAAAAAGGAGTTACAGAAATGTTTCTGACTTTGGGATTATCTGTCCAGCCTCCTTGCGGCATTATGTAAAGCTCGAGGCTTGGAGGGAACAAAATCATCTGCAGGAGCACAGGACATGCCTCTGTCTCTGGATAACAGCAAATTGGTGGCTCCGAGGGGCAGATGTGTGACAGCACCTTGTGTGCTCTGCAGCAGGGACCCGTGGTGAGGGGACATCGCTCAAAGGAAGCGATGCAGATGAGAAAAGAATCCCTCTGGTTAGTGAAGTTATTCCAGCAAGTGGCTATATAAATGTCTTTATATTGTTATTTCTGATATTAGTTTGTTGTTCCTCCATGAAAGCTGATTTATTTGAAATGTTATTACTCGAAACACCCTAATCTTTTTGTAATAATTCATATACTGGAGATTACAGTTTTGGAAGGCAGCCCAGCTCTGGCTGGAATCCTATTTATGGATTAAAGGATTTGAACAGCATTGCAAGCTAGATCTCCGAATAGCAGGATAATGTAAACCTGGTTCCATATAAAATGCTTTACCTCTGCAATAGTAACCCCATTAAAGGCAGATTGTGGGAGGACGTTGGACAAGAGGACTTTCATTACAGTCAGCCGGGATATCTTGCACCCCAAAGAGCAAGGATTTTCCAAGCGGGGTCTTCCCCTTGCTCAGATGTCCCGAGCTGGGTTTTGTGTCTCCTTTCTTCTGGAAGCCACCAAGCCAACTAATTACAGGGTCTTTGTGGTGGGTTCGAACAGACTGGCTGATGGCAGCACCATTGTTCCTGCTGGGAACTGAGACACCACAAAAGGCAGATGAAGTGCCCCAGCCGAGTGCTGCTCTCCTGCCCCATTAGGGGAGGGAGGCAGCTGGGAGCTGTAATTTCCATGTAGGCAGCAGCACGAGGGCCCACCCCCAAATTCATTAGGGCTGCTGGAGGGACAATCCAACCCCAGGGAACTGGAAGCCTTTGGGAGTGTTGTTATTAATTTACCATTTAATGTAATAGTGCACGGGGAACCCAGTCGCAGGCTGGAGGACTGTTGTGCTAATAAGTGCTGCACAAAATCCAAACTAGAGGATGGCCAATGGCATAATTTAATTATAAGTATGCTTATAATCTGTGCGAAGATAAGTGCAGAAATAGTCTAGAAAATGACTGTGTGAGCCAACATTAAAATTAATGGTTTCGGGACACAGGCAGGCTAATTGTTTTTGAGCCTTTTTCATACACTGCAGCAAGCAAGTTTTGAGATGAGGTTTGAAGGAAACCACTGAAGTGGCTCGGTGTGTATTTACAGGCAGCTTTTACCATGATAAATGTGTGCTGAAGCATGGCATCCTGAGCCAAAAAGGGAAACAGCAGCTGAACAAGAGGTGGGGAAGGGAGGATGGACTACGAAGAGCTCTGAAAATTGAAGCAACTTGTTTGAGGCACTTAGGGGGGATGAGCTGGTGGGAAAGGGTGAGGCAAGCAAAACCTACTAATGCTCCAAAGGAAGATGAGAATCATGTGGTGGTTGCGATAATTAGGCCACAAGATGATGAAAACCTGGAGAAGGTTAGCTGTGTGCCCCGGGGAAGGCTGAATCTTGGAGATAGTATGCAAAAATCTGCAAGATGTATTGCTGGTGAGGATGTAACACCCCGGAGAGACTCCGCAGTTTAAGCTGATGCCCAGCTTTTTGGTATTATATGTTGCCTATAGAATTTGAGGAAGGCATTTGGGAAGAGTGCTTAGGAGAATATTAAGATCAGTGATGTGTAGGAGCAATGCGAGCGTGCTGTGACCAGCTGCACGGGGCTGGGGGTGTGTCCCTGTGTGGTAGAGAAGAAAAATATGACAGGGATCACCCTTCCCAGGAAATCTCACTTCTATATGGTGCAAATACTAATCTGTAAACATAGTGTGTCAGGCTGTAATAATCACTTAAAGATGGGGTTTGAGGCACGTGTGCTTGTAGGTATCACTTATGGCTGTCCACCCGAGTGTGGTTTAACAGCAGCAGCGTGGGCTCCAGAGCTGGAAATGTTTGCAGCCCCCCTACCTGAACTGCATTGCCCTGGGCAAAAATCATTTTCTGCTCTGGATCTCGGCTTCCTCCTCCATGGAATGGGGTAATATCACGTGCATCCCGAAGGATTTGAGCATTACTTATTATTTCTATAGGGATTTGAAGGTTAATAGCTTTACACAAGCCTAATTAATTGCTATTATTTAGTTTAATATTCTATCCAAGTGCTTTGTCCACAGAAAGCTTGCTCTACCAGCCTCTGTGCAGAGTTTGAAGCAGCTTGGTGCATCTGCAGTGTGGAAGTGTGAATCCACAAACAGACTGTCACCATAGCTGTGTGTCACTGCATGTGTGGTGTGTGCTCAGGGTGTTCTGATGCAGGTAATGGTAGAGCAGCTCATCACTGGAGACAAACTCAGGTGGGACAACAAAATAAATTAGAATAAACACTTCCTCCTATGATATGCATTGCCTTAACTCTGTTGCTGATTATTGCATGGCCTTCTAAGTGAAGGCAGATTGAAAGACTGATAGCTCAAGTAACATTTCATATCTCAACACTGTTTTCAGAGAGCCCTGATGCTGCCGCTGTCCTGTTGGTACCGCTGGGCAGGATGAAGGAGGCCACTGTCAGAACAGGAACCATGGGCCAGTCCTGATTAAAGAAAACGTGATGTTAAACAAAAAAGATAAAAGCTTTAATGTTAGTGCTTTAAAAAAAAAAAACTCAAAGGATGCTGTAATGCAGTGTCATTTGAGTGGCCGTGTGGCGTGTCTGAGAAGAAAGATGGATCGCGTACACGGCATGCCTGACAGTAGGACTAATAGCTATTGGATGGGGTGTTAAGTATATCATAAAATCAGTGTTAGCCACAGTCAAGATGATGCATTCAAACTGTGCTTTGCCTTCCTGCTCTGAGCCCGCAGGCAGCAGCGATGGGGACTGAGGAGGAGCCCCCCCAGCTGCTGCCCTGCAGTGCTGGTGGGGTGCTGGCACGTGGGGCTGTGGGGAGGCAGGGCTCGCTCTGACGGCACTACCTAAACCTGGCAGCACCTCCTGAACACCCAGCTCCCTCTGGCATGAAAGCAGTGCGCTTCCTGCAAGTGCTCTGAGTCTGAGATGAGGCCTTCAGAAGCCAGAAGGGAGCAGAGCCCATCCTGGGCTGTCCCGGTCATTGCTCCATGATGACTGCTGCTCTTTGCTGGAGGCAGTTCTGATTTACCTGTTTTCGGCTCCTTCCCTTTTTTAAGGGCCTGTGTTCAGCAGACTCAGGATTTGCCTGTTTTTGAAGGCTGCTGTGCAAATGGCAACTGCAAAGGGCCCAGATGTGCTCACACTGGAACCAGGGGGAAATTTCCAGGTGCCGGCACCCTCTGGATCTGGTAGTGACTCTTTTCCTATGCAAAAGTCTTGCTGTGAGAGAGCACTTTAAAAGAAAAGGTTTAGGTTTAAAAGGTTTAAAATAAAGGTTTCATGACAGAGTTAGATGTCTGTCTTCAGCTGGAGAGATGTCATGTTCCTAAAATGTCTGTCTTGTTGAAATCCAGACTATGTGAGGCGATGTTTCTCTCCCCAAGGCTTCTGATCACTGCTGGGTAAAACAAACTTTATTTTATTCTGAGAAGAGGTAATTGAGCAGGAACAATTAACTGAGAGTTATCCCCACTGGGAAGCAGTGCTCGGAGCAGCACCTCCCAGCCCTTCCCACCCCTGGCTCCAAACTGGGGGAGGTGAGGGCAGTGCTGGTACCGAGCTCCTGCTCTACAAATACAACACGTGTAGGTACAGAGCTGAGCATCCTGAACCCCCTCGTAGGGCAAGGATGTGGGCGTAAAAAGCACGGTGCTTCCATGCAGGGAAGTCAGTGGAGACAAACAACTTGTGCAAAACTACCAGGTGCTCCTGCAAATGGCCCCAAATCCCAAGCCCTGCGTTCTCCCATTTGCAGAAGGCTGACATCATGGTTAGCTGTGGTCCCACGGGAGGAAGCTGGACGAGCTTCTGGAGGTCATGGAGCTGGAGCTGGGCTTCGTGCAGCTGCTGCTGTTCTCTGCAGGCAGTGGTGTGGCCTGGTGGCCAAGCTGTGGGTTAGGCAACACAATTGGGGATTTATCCCAATGTTCATTTGGCAGAAAGATCTCAGTTACGTGGTGGCTAGCCCCGGGGGTTCGTCCGTGTTCCTTTACTGGAGCCAGCACAC